ACTGGAGAAGGAGACAGAAGGCCTGATTCTTGCAGCCCAGGAGCAAGCCATCAGAACCAATACCATCAAGGCCAGGATCAAAAAAATCAGCTGATGACCCAAAATGCAGACTGTGCAAGGAAGCTGATGAAACCATGATCATATCCTCAGCTGCTGCAAGAAAATCACACAGACAGACTACAAACAGAGGCACAACTCTGTGGCCCAAATGATTCACTGGAACTTATGTCACAAGTACCACCTGCCAGCAATAAAGAACTGGTGAGATCATAAACCTGCAAAAGTAGTGGAAAATGAAGACACAAAAATACTGTGGGTCTTTCGAATCCAAACTGACAAAGTTCTGGAACACAATACACCAGACATCACAATTGTGGAAAAGAAAAATGTTTGGATTATTGATGTCGCCATACCGGGTGACAGCCACATTGAGGAAAAACAACAGGAAAAACGCAGCCGTTTTCAGGACCTCAAAATTGAACTGCAAAGGCTCTGGCATAAACCAGTAAAGATGGTCCCATTGGTCACCGGCACACTGGGTGCCATGCCCAAAGAGCTCAGCTGGCATTTGAAAACAATAAACACTGACAAAATCACAATCTGAAAGGCTGAAAAAGGCCAGCTTACTTGGATCTGCCTACATCGTTTGAAAATACATCACACAGTCCTAAACTGGAAAGTGTTCGACTTGTGATTTTGTGATACAAAATCCAGAATATATATCTCATTTGCTGCGTCGTACTGTGTTTTTGTGTCAGAATAATAATAGTAATAGTAATAATCATCATCATCATCATCATCATCATCATCCTCAACATCATCTATGGTGTAGAATGAATACAAGTTGACACCACTTGAATAACACTATGTAACAACATTTGAAAAAATGTTCTGTTCAATGTATTGTCGAAGGCTTTCATGGCTGGAATCACTCAGTTCTTGTGGGTTTTTTCGGGCTATATGGCCATGTTCTAGAGGCATTTCTCCTGAGTTTCGCCTGCATCTATGGCAAGCATCCTCAGAGGTGAGGTCTGCTGGAACTGGAAAAAAGGGGTTTATATATCTGTGGAATGACCAGGGTGAGACAAAGGGCTTTTGTAAGTTGGGCTAGGTGTGAATCTTTCAACTGCCCACCTTGATTAGCATACAATGGGCTGACTGTGCCTGGAGCAAACTCTTCTTGAAAGGTGATTAGATGTCCCTGCCTGTTTTTCTCTCTGCTGTTTTTGCTGTTGCAATTTTAGAATTTTTTAATACTGGTAGCCAGATTTTTTTCATTTTCATGGTTTCTTTTCTGTTTTTCTTTCTTCCTTCTTTTTCTTTCTTCTTTTTTCTTTCTTTTTTTAGTTTTTTTTAATACTGTTAGCCAGATTTTGTTCATTTTCAAGGTTTCTTCCTTTCTGTTGAAATTGTCCACATGCAGCCCATCCCTTGTTCAGATATTGGCCAGCATGCCAATGCCTTAAATCAAGAAATAGTTTTCTAAGATCTACAGAAATACTCACAGGAATGCCTCAGCAAGAGAGAGTCCAAAAGTGGCAGGCTAAAACCCAGAACCTCAAGCCATGACTGATGCCAAATGAGAGACTCCCTCCTGGGCAAACAGAAGTCTGGGTGACTTAGAAGGTGCAGAACAGACTGAGCTTGGCACACAAGATGCAGAGCCTATCATAAGAAATAGGACCACAAAGTGGAGTCCATGACATGTGAGTGTGGAGAAGAGCAAACCACAGACCACATACTACAATGGAAGACCTTCTTACAGCAACACCAGAGGCGCTCCAAGTGGCCAATTTCTAGTCAAAGGACATTTAGCATAATGCTAAGTTTTTAAACTTTGTGTTTTTATATATATATATATATATATATATATATATATATATATTATATACAATTGTACCCTAAATTCGCTTCTGATACAATAAATAAAAACCCAGGTTTCCTGTTTATCCCAGATTATCTGGCAGTGCAGACTCATATGATCTAGTTTAAAGCAGAAAAGCTGGGATCAGATCCAGGGATATAGGGCCTGTCTGGAAGGTTCCTAGGAGCTCTTATACACAGACATATAACCCAGAATATCAAGACAGAATAACCCGCAATATCTGCTTTGAACTGGGTTATCTGAGTCCACACTGGCATATATACCAGTTCAAAGCAAATAATTATGGATTTTATTCAGCTGTGTGGAAGGAGCCTAAGACAAGATCACTATGTTGGCTTTTGTATTTGATCATACGTCCGACACTTCCCAAATGTCTAGGACTGTGTGATGTATCAGCGAATAATGCGTGCAGATCTGAGTAGGGTGGCCTCTTGCAGCTGGCAGATGGTAATTTTGTCAGCACTGATTGTTTTCACGTGCTGGCCAAGTACTTTAGGCGCTGCACCCAGTGTGCCAATCACCACTGGGACCACCTTGACTGGCTTGTAGCAGTTCGATCTTTATTGTTGTTAGCTTGTTTTGACTTTGAATGTTTGCCATTTTGTTATATCGTTGTTCCTTAGGAAAGATAGAGCGGGTTACAAATAAAGCATTATTGTTCAATTACTTTCATGGCTGGAATCAGTAGGTTGTTGTGTGTTTTCTGGGCTGTATGGCCATGTTCCAGAAGCATTCCCTACTGATGTTTCGCCTGCATCAATGGCAGGCATACTCAGAAGTTGTGAGGTCTGTTGGAAACTATATCTGTAAAATTATGTCCAGGATGGGAGAAAGAACACTTGTCTGTTGGAAGTAGGTGTGAATGTTGCAATTGGCAACCTTGATTAGCTTTTAATGACCTAACAGTTTCAAGGTCTGGCTTCTTAATGCCTTGGGGAATCCTTTGTTGAGAGGTGATTAGCTGGCCTAGTTTCCAACAGATCTCACAACCTCTGAGGATGCCTGTGTCAGGAGAGAATGCTTCTGGAACATGGCCAGACAGCCCTGAAACACACACAACAAACTCGAAGTATTATTAATATTATGGAATCCTGGAAGTTGCAGTTTGGTGAGGCATTTGGGAGAACTCTTTTCTGTTGGAGGTAGGTGTGAATATTTCAATTGCCACCTTGATTAGCACTTAATGGCCTTGCAGCTTCAAGATCTGGCTTCTTACTGCCTGGGAGAATCCTTTGTTGAGAGGCCTTATTACGGAATCCTGGAAGTTGCAATTTGGTGAGGCATTTGGGAGAACTCTTTGTCTGTTGGAGGTAGATCTGAATGTTTCGACTGGCTATCTTGGTTAGCACTTAATGGCCTTGCAGCTTCAAGATCTGGCTTCTTACTGCCTGGGGGAATCTTTTGTTGAGAGGCATTATTACGGAATCCTGGAAGTTGCAATTTGGTGAGGCACTTGGGAGAAAGAACTTTGTCTGTTGGAGGTAGATGTGAATGTTTCAATTGGCCACCTTGATTATCATTGAATGGCCTTGCAGTTTCAGGGTCTGGCTTCTTACTGCCTGGAGGAATCCTTCGTTGAGAGGCGATGCGCTCTCTTATTGTTATTACGGAACCCTGGAAGTTGCAGTTTGGTGAGGCATTTGGGAGAAAGAACTCTTGTCTGTTGGAGGTAGGTGTGAATATTTCAATTGGCCACCTTGATTAGCATTTAATGGCCTTGCAGTTTCAGGTTCTGGCTTCTTACTGCCTGGGGGAATCCTTCATTGAGAGGTGATGAACTCTCTTATTGTTATTACAGAATCCTGGAAGTTGCAGTTTGGCGAGGCATTTGGGAGAACTCTTGTCTGTTGGAGGTAGGTGTGAATGTTTCAATTGGCCATCTTGATTAGCACTTAATGGCATTGTAGCTTCAAGGTCTGGCTTCTTACTGCCTCAGGGAATCCTTTGTTGTGAGGTGATGAGCTCTCTTATTGTTGTTATGGAATCCTGGAAGTTGCAGTTTGGCGAGGCATTTGGGAGAAATCTTGTCTGTTGGAGGTAGGTGTGAATGTTTCAATTGGCCATCTTGATTAGCACTTAATGGCATTGTAGCTTCAAGGTCTGGCTTCTTACTGCCTCAGGGAATCCTTTGTTGTGAGGTGATGAGCTCTCTTATTGTTGTTATGGAATCCTGGAAGTTGCAGTTTGGCGAGGCATTTGGGAGAAATCTTGTCTGTTGGAGGTAGGTGTGAATGTTTCAATTGGCCATCTTGATTAGCACTTAATGGCATTGTAGCTTCAAGGTCTGGCTTCTTACTGCCTCAGGGAATCCTTTGTTGTGAGGTGATGAGCTCTCTTATTGTTGTTATGGAATCCTGGAAGTTGCAGTTTGGTGAGGCATTTGGAAGAACTCTTGTCTGTTGGAGGTAGGTGTAAATGTTCCAATCTTTATTAGCACTTAATGGCCTTGCAGCTTCAAGGTCTGGCTTCTTACTTCCTGGAGGAATCCTTTGTTGAGAGGCATTATTACGGAATCCTGGAAGTTGCAATTTGGTGGGGCATTTCGGAGAAAGAACTCTTGTCTGTTGAAGATAGGTGTGAATGTTTCAATTGGCCACCTTGATTAGCATTCAATGGCCTTGCAGTTTCTTACTGCCTGGGGGAATCCTTTGTTGAGAGGCTCAAGAAGACTATGGTAAAACTATAACTCCCAGCCTCCCACAGCAGCAAGCAACTGGCAAATGCAAGTGGTCTGGAGCTGAATCCATTCTCGAGTGGAGATGCACCAAAAGCAAAAAAGTTGGGTGAAGTTTGAGAAGGTGGGAGAGTGGTGGGCGCGCCTTTGAAGAGGGGGCTCCCCAAACCTGACCTTAAACCCTCAAAGGTTAGAATGCCTTCCCCCCTTTTTTTGGAGGGGAGTGTGGCTTGGTGTGACGGGGAGTAACGCTCTCTCAGCCCCCCCTACTCCTCTCTTGCCTCTCTCTCTCTGTGCGCCTTATCTCCTCCTTGGCGCACCGGGGTTTTGGTGGTGGGAGGTGGGAGGGGAGACCCACGAAGAAGACGTCACGAGGACGACGTCACAGGGTGGAAATTCCCCCCCGGATTGTAGGGGCGGAGGCTTCGAGGAGGAGGGAGCTCTCCAGCCAGCGCCGCCTCCCAAGGAGGGAGCCTCAAAACCTGCCCCAACCAGGAGGCACTCTTGCCCAGGAAGGAAGACACTCAGAAGACCAGCTGGATCCCAGGAGAGGCACCCCAAGCCGGGCAAAGAGCTCTTCCCCTTCTCCACCAGGTCCAGGGAGGACAAGCCACCATGGCAGGTAAGCAGGAAGGAGATCTAGTCTTACCCAGTGAAGGGAACTGCATTCAAGCTCATAATACTCCAAAGGTAAAGGTCCTCCCAGGTTGGAATCTTCTCTCTTGGAGGTCCCAACACAGTGACACTATCTATGGCAGGTCTGGGCAAAGTTCTGCCCTTCCAGGTGTTTTGGACTTCAACTCCCACAATTCCTAACAGCCGGTAGGCTGTTAGGAATTGTGGGAGTTGAAGTCCAAAACACCTGGAAGGGCAGAACTTTGCCCAGACCTGATCTATTCAGAGTTGAAGTCCAAAACACTTGGAGGGCCAGAGTTTGCCCATTCCTGATCTATGGAGTCCTGGAAGATTAGTTTCCCAAGGTCTTTAGACTTCTCTAATTTCCCTAATTTAGACTTCCCTAGTTATAATAATAATAATAATGAACTGCAAAGACTCTGGCACAAGCCAGTCAAGGTGGTCCCAGTGGTGATCGGCACACTGGGTGCAGTGCCTAAAGACCTTGGCCTGCACTTAAACACAATCGGCACTGACAAAATTACCATCTGCCAGCTGCAAAAGGCCACCTTACTGGGATCTGCACGCATTATTTGCCGATACATCACACAGTCCTAGACACTTGGGAAGCGTCCGACGTGTGACCCAATACAACAGCCAGCAGAGTATCTGCTGTGGACTCATCTTGTTGTGTTTCAAATAATAATAATAGGGTTGTTGTAGGTTTTTCGGGTTGTACAGCCATGTTCTAGAAGCATTTTCTCCTGATGTTTTGCCTGCATCTATGGCAAGCATCCTCATTGAAAAACTTGAGAAAAATGGGCTATGGCAGGATGGCACCTCTTGCAAAAACAAACTTTAATAAACTTTCCCCATGTTTTTATGGCAGAACCAATTAGGAAACGGCATTGATAACCCAGGAACAAGACATCGTGTTGCATAGTATAATAATAATAGTTATTATTGGGTTGTTGTGAGTTTTCTGGAATGTATGGCCTTGTTCCAGAAGCATTCTCTCCTGATGTTTCGCCTGCATCTATGGCAGGCAGATATCTAAACCCCACTTTCCTAGTTCCAACAGACCTCACAGCCTTTGAGGATATATATATGGCAGATACATAAACCCAACTTTCCTAGTTTCAAACAGACCTCACAACCTCTGAGGATGCCTGCCATAGATGCAGGTAAAACGTCAGGAGAGAATGCTTCTAGAACATGGCTATACAACCTGAAAAACCTACAACAACCCAATGATTCCGGCCATGAAAGCCTTCGACAATACAATAATAATAGGTTTTCCCATGATATTAAGTCCAGTTGCATCTGACTCTGAGGGTTGGTGCTCACCCCCATTTCTAAGCCAAAGAGCCGGCATTGTCCGTAGACACCTCCAAGGTCATGTGGCCGATATGACTGCATGGAGCGCCGTTACCTTCCTGCCGGAATGGTATCTATTGATCTACTCACATTTGCATGTTTTCGAACTGCTAGGTTGGCAGGAGCTGGGGCTGACAACGGGAGCTCACTCTGCTCCCTGGATTCGAACCTGTGACCTTTTGGTCAACAAGTTCAGCAGCTCAGTGCTTTAACCCACTGCGCCACCTGTGGCTCCAATAATAATAATAATAATAATAATAATAATAATAATAATAATAACAACAACTATTATTAACCAATTAACTGTAATGACCAATTTGGAAATGATATTGATAATCCAGGAACAAAAAAAAATGTGTTACATGGTATAATAATAATAGTATGTTGTCGAAGGCTTTCATGACTGGAATCACTGGATTGTTGTGAGTTTTCTGGGCTGTATGACTATGTTACAGAAGCATTCTCTCCTGACATTTCGCCTGCATCTATGGCAGGCATCCTTAGAGGTTGTGAGGTCTGTTGGAAACTAGGAAAGTGGGGTTTACGTATCTGCCATATATATACCCTCAGGGGTTGTGAGGTCTGTTGGAATTAGGAAAGTGAGGTTTATATATATGTGCCATATATATACCCTCAGAGGTTGTGATGTCTCTTGGAAACTAGGAAAATGGGGTTTATGTATCTGCCATATATATATCCTCAGAGGTTGTGAGGTCTATTGGAAACTAGCAAAGTGAGGTTTATATATCTGCCTGCCATAGATGCAGGTGAAACGTCAGGAGAGAATGCTTCTGGAACATGACCATACAGCTTGGAAAACTCACAACAACCCAATAACAACTATTATTATTATACAATGCAACTCAATGTCTTGTTCCTGGGTTATCAATGTCGTTTCCTAATTGGTTCTATCATAAAAACATGGGGAAAGTTTATTAAAGTTTGTTTTTGTGGGAGGGACATCCTGCTATCGCTCATTTTTCTCTCGTTTTTCAATGAGTGTCAGCCACAAAAATGAAGTTTCTGGGGTAGAATCATAGAGTTGGAAGAGACCATGTCCAACTTCCTGCCAAGAAGCAGGAAAATCGTATTCAAAGCACAACTTCTTTCAAAGTAAGGCTGCACAATTTGTCCCCAAATTACATATGCCATTTCCTATTTGGTTCTGTTATAGAGACATGGGAAAAGTGTATTAAACTGCAAAAACTTTCTTTTTCTGGGACATTCTGCAGCACATTCTGCTATAGTTTTTCAATGAATCAATCAAGTCTCAACCAATTCAACATACTTTGTGGCAGCCACAAAAACCAAGTTTCTGGAGTATAGCAACTACTTTCAAAGTTAGTGCTGCACAACGAAACAGGAAATAACACTTTCAAACCAGGAACAGAAACTTTTTCAACTTTTGTTACATAGTGTGGTTGTTGTTGTTACAGTAGAGTCTGGCTTATCCAACATAAACGGGCCGGCAGAACTTTGGATAAGCGAAAATGTTGGATAATAAGGAGGGATTAAGGAAAAGCCTATTAAACATCAACTTATGTTATGATTTTACAAATTAAGCACCAAAACATTATGTTTTACAACAAATTGACAGAAAAAGCAGTTCAATACATGGCAATGTTATGTAGTAATAACTGTATTTACGAAGTTAGCACCAAAACATCACAATGTATTGTAACAGCTGTGGATCCGGGTGGGAGGCAGACTGCATTGCATAATACAGAATGTTGGATGAGCAAAGGTTGGATAAGCGAAACTCTAGTGTATTATTATTATTATTATTATTATTATTATTATTATTATTATTATAAGATATGTAACAAGATTAGTACACAGCAAATAAGATCGCTATGCTGGCTGTTGTATTGGATCACATGTTGGACACTTCCCAAGTGTCTAGGACTGTGTGATGTATTGGCGAATAATGTGTGCAGATCTGAGTAGGGTGGCCTTTTGCAGTTGGGAGATGGTAATTTCGTCAACACCGATTGTTTTTGGGTGCAGGCCAAGGTCTTTAGGCAGTGTGCCAATCACCACTGGGACCACTTTAGATTATTATTATTATTTTACTGACACAAAAACTCAGTATGTCACAACAAACAAGATATATATGCTGGATTTTGTATCACAAAATCACAAGTTGAACACTTCCCAAGCATTTAGGACTGTGTGATGTATTTCCGAATAATACACGCAGATCCAAGTAAGGTGGCCTTTTGCAGTTGACAGATCATGATTTTGTCAATGTTCATTGTTTCCAAATGCCAGCTGAGCTCTTTGGGCATGGCATCCAGTGTGCCGATGACCACTGGGACCATCTGGACTGGTTTATGCCAGGGCCTTTGCAGTTTGATTTTGAAGTCTTGATAACAGCTGTGTTTTTCCTGTTGTTTTTCCTCAATGCGACTGTCACTTGGTATGGTATGGCGACATCAATAATCCAAACTTTTTTCTTTTCCATAATTGTGATGTCTGGTGTATTGTGTTCCAAAACTTTGTCAGTCTGGATTTGAAAGTTGCACAGTCTGGATTCAAAAGTTGCACAGGTGGTACTTGTGACATAAGTTCCAATGAATCCTTTGGGCCACAGAGTTGTGCCTCTGTTTGTAGTCCGTTTGTGCAATTTTCTTGCAGCAGCTGAGGATATGATCAATGGTTTCATCAGCTTCCTTGCACAGTCTGTATTATTATTATTATTATTATTATTATTATTATTATTAATTATGGGCGGAGAAGGCTAAAGATCTTGGAGTTTTAGTAGACCACAATTTGAATTTGGGCCAACAAGGGGATGGATGCAGCAGCTAAAAAAGCCAATGGGATTTTGGACTGTATTAGATGGAGAATAGTATCAAAGGGAAGTCATGGTGCCCCCCCCCCTTCTGCTTTGGTCAGGCCCCTTCTGGAGGATGTCCAGAGAAAAGTGACTATAATGATCAAAGGTCTGGAAACCATGAATCCCTCCAAGGAGTGTCTGGGGATGGTTACTCTGCAGAAGAGAAGGCTGAGATGAGACATGAGAGCCATGTATAAATATGTGAAAGGGTGTCATGTGGAAGAGAGAGAAAGCTTGTTTTCTGCTTCCCTGAAAACTAGTACTCGGAGCAACAGGTTCAAATGACAGGAAAGGAGATTCTACCTGAACATTAGGGAAAACTTCCTGACTGTAAGAGCTGTTCAGCAGTGGAACTCTCTTCCTTGGAGTGTAATCTAAGCTCCTTCCTTGGAAGCTATTAAAGAGAAATTGGATGGCCATCTGTTGAGGGGTACTTTGATTGTGCTTTTCCTGCCTGGCAGCGGGTTGGACAAGATGGCCCATGTGGGTCTCTTCCAACTCTGTATTGTATGATTCTAGGATTATTTACCTGCCCCTCCTCATGGCTCAATGCAGGGCACAATATAGTTAGAACCCATGGGATTTTGGCCTGCATCAATAGGAGCATAGTGTCTAGATCTAGGGAAGTAATGTTACCCCTCTATTCCGCTTTGGTTAGACCACACCTGGAATATTGTGTCCAATTCTGGGCACCACAATTCAAGAGAGATATTGACAAGCTGGAATGTGTCCAGAGGAGGGCGACTAAAATGATCAAGGGTCTGGAGAACAAGCCCTATGAGGAGCGGCTT